AACCGGCGCACGAAAGTGCATGGTTAATGGTTGTTCAAACTGAAACTGATTATTATTGTTATCTGTTACTAAGATGATCGAGAGGTTCAAAGATTAAACTAGTGGCAAGCTCAAATATCTTACAAAAACAGGATTGAGTGAAGTTTAAATTCGTACAATCAGGTATGTTGAGCAGAACTGAGATTTGGTTGAGGACCTTTGTGAGAACAGACCAATAGAATCATTATCCTAGTCGACAACTGATCGTTTTGTCTCAAAAAAGATCGGAGTTCATCGAAGGTGGAATGCTTGAAGGATATCCGCGGAAATGGCTATGGTACGACTTGTTGTCCCCACGGACAGCTTTGCCGTCCTTGTGGTAAATTTCACCACGCTAGAGCACCACAATAAAGTAAAAATATTCCGTACAAAGACTGAAAACAGTATACCTCCCCGGTATCTCCACATTTGTTCACTCGTTTCATGTGCTGCCGTCATGGTTGAGTTCTTATTGGCCCACTGGACAGTTTTTCACCGCAAACTACTTTCTATTGCACAACGCACAAATTCGACTCACCGGAAAACTATGCAGTCATACTTGAAGTGGAAATTTGTCGTCTTCTCTCACAACGCTCGACTGTAATCAGCATCAGTCTTACTAATGTCCTCATTCACCCTTCACCCCCCAGACTCGCTGGTGTTCAATAAGCAATCACTAGTCGGCCCCTTTCTATCCTTTATTAATCGTTAGCATTCTCGATTTCGTTTATCCCAGACTGCCTCATTTTCACCCATTCCCCGTACATTCTCCTACCCCTGTAAGACCTAGACTGACGACTGCCCTAACCAATTGTGGGTCTAGATTCTCTACGGTCAGTTTCCAAATCTTCTCCAACTCCACAATCATCCTTTTTCACATGATGCGTTCGGATTAAATGGTCTATCTCTTTTAGCGGAAATCACTAAAATGATGCGATAAAACATCCAGGCATTCACAACCCATAGGCTAGCAATCAATGTATCGAAAATCAAGGTATTCTTAAACTACCCCGGGCCGTTAGTCTAGCGGTTATTGTTAACAATGAGTGTGCCATTGTTTAAAGAAAGGCCCCACCGTACTCTCGAATGTCGAAGCGAGGAGTGAACTGATGCTACGGATCAACAAAGTTCGAAAAGCGTGTCTGCAGCCACCATGAGGACCGGTAACAATCGGCGCTCAATTTAGTGCTCGTTATGCTACTATTCGCCCCGTATGAATACGAAATCTGGCCTATATGCGCACCGAGAACGAGAAAAGGTTGGAACAATGGGATCTGCATTGAGTCTGCAAAACCAAACGGTGATGCAGAGTGGTCCATTAAGAAACAAAGAGACGATGCCACGACACTGGGGAAACGCACATCCGCCCCGGGACTTGGAGTGGTGAACCACATAAAGTCCCGATGAGTTAAGCGTAGTACTGAACCGGACGACAGCAGAGCTGCCTACCATTAAAGTCGGGTGGCGGTGGCGAGGCTCGAACCTCGGACCATAGGGTCCACAGCACACCGATGACAGTGACTAAGGCGATTCAAGATCGAGCTAGCCAAACAAACGCTACGGTGTTGCCACCTTGGTAGACAACTCAAAACGTGGGTCCACGTCATCGAGCAGGACCCAGAGCTATCAGTACAAGGAGTGTGGGAATGAAAGAAAACGTGAATGAAAACAAATGAGCTGGCCGCAAACTGCAGCATCTGGGTAGTAATGATCCGCGATATCCATAGAACCAAATTAGCAACTAGCAAGAGATAGTCACATTAAAGTAAAAATAAATATATATTGATTAAATTCACAGTGAAATCTAAAAATCAATATGTGGAACAAGACCAACAAAGGTAATTCGGGAGCCACTTTGCCTACCTCATCGAGTAACATCAATCCCCATTCCTGACCCTTGATCCAATCCATCATTCGATCTGCCTCGTACGAACGTTTTGTGGAATGTGCAATCATGGTGTACGTACTGATGCATATGCATGCACTGGCGGATGGTCGATCTTTCGCATCACTAGTGAAGCGTAGAATTTGCGCATCCTCTGCCGTGGACCACAGTTTGAATTGAGCACGCCACTGTTCCACGGCCACACCGCTGGTGCACAAAACGAATGTCGGTTTTCGAATAGTGCACGCGGCAGTTACACCAACCTGAAACGGTTTGTGTGACAATGAAACGAGTAGATGAAAGCGGGCGGGGGGGATAAAGATGAGCAATGTGAATAAAATGATAGAAAGGAAAGGATAGCAAAATATGATTACTTCTCCTCTTTCCCGCTCCCACCCCACCCCAAATATCTGGAACCAGTACCGTTACGATTCCCCCACATGGCAAATACTCTGCTGGAATTGTACTCAAGATGATCACACACTTACTGTCTCTTTTGTTTAGTTAAGAACAAACGACTGTCCAATACCGCGCCTAACAAAACGTGTGAGCTTTCTGTTCTATTTTTGGTGTTCTCAGAAGGCGCTACTTGTGCACCTGTCAAAAACTCCAGAGTTCTTCAAAGACCTGTGCTATCTCCATCCTTAATTTGCACGTACGTTTGTGATATTCCCAGTGTTACTCTTGTACGTGTTTTAAACTATGCAGATGATGTCCTGCTTTGGCAGTCCATTTCTCCTCACTTCGATTCAAACTCCTTCATCGTCAATATTGGTCAAATTTAGTCATTCTCCTCCCTATGTGTTGAATATTCCTATAGTTTTACGCGATCTTCTTATTCGACAAACTCCACAGTGATTAATAATAATTCTTTATCTAGGATGGACTCTGACAAATATCTTAGTGTAACTATAAATAACAATCTTCTTTGCTCAAAACATCCACAAGTGTATTGGTAAACTGATTTCAAATACGAAAGCTCAGGCAGTTTCGCGCATCGCGGTCAGTTATTTTTACCTTTGTTTATCACTTTGTTTTCCCCATCTTACTTTATTGAATAGGAATATTCAACACATAGGGAGGAGAATGACTAAATTTGACCAATATTGACGATGAAGGAGTTTGAATCGAAGTGAGGAGAAATGGACTGCCAAAGCAGGACATCATCTGCATAGTTTAAAACACGTACAAGAGTAACACTGGGAATATCACAAACGTACGTGCAAATTAAGGATGGAGATAGCACAGGTCTTTGAAGAACTCTGGAGTTTTTGACAGGTGCACAAGTAGCGCCTTCTGAGAACACCAAAAATAGAACAGAAAGCTCACACGTTTTGTTAGGCGCGGTATTGGACAGTCGTTTGTTCTTAACTAAACAAAAGAGACAGTAAGTGTGTGATCATCTTGAGTACACTTGTATAGCACACACCCCGTTATGTGATGCATCAATCAGAAGGCTGTGCTATAGGTTTATGATAACCGACGGCCTAAGCCCTGAAACTTTGAACAACGAACGGCTCGACTACGATAGGTGTGTTGCTGAGCCCGAAGACAGAGAAGCTACCCACCATCAAGGCTCCGAGACGATGCCAGGGTTCGAACCATGAAGCTTGGGACATTAGTGAGCGCTACTACTAAACCAATTGCCCACCGCTCAGAAGCAATCGCTCTCACACGCATTCATAACATTCTTTTTACATCTGTAGAAGCAAACAAATCAAGATAGAAATTGGTCGCGGCATTAGCTAAAAAAGAGAGTGAAATTTAAAAAATGTAATTAGAGAAAGTTTCTCTTTACTATTTCATAAAATCGCTCGGACTTATTGTGTGACAGAGAAACTGTATGACAAATGATGCGAAGCGAACAAACCAGAGTAGTGCGCGATTTGTCACATCAGATTGCAGATGGAAGAGATAATGGAATTACTTAGCCGTGAATAAAGTAGCTGTGGTTCAATGATCAAGTGCCGCGAACAAACAGTAGGAATGTGAAGGCGTGGTGAGTTGAAGCTAGACATCATCGCTGTACGATGATGATGATGATGATGATGCACAGAACAACAGAACCCCAAATCAGGGACAAGTCTGTCTAAACCCGTCGAACCGTGTCCAGACTTTTCACAGTACAACATGATACCATCGGACGACTTGGATTGAGCAGTGAAGTACTACACTCACGCGTTCCAGTTGACCTTCATTTACATGGAAAAGCAAATACTCTATATATTTGCATCACTGCGATTCAGGTTGAAAACGAAAGAATAGAAACGTAATTATCAGGTTATCGGTAGGCGGAAAACTCGATAATCCGTTGCTTGGATATCGAATGTATTACATAAACAATATATATATATATATATATATATATATCAGAAAACGTAATATAACAGGTCATTTTGAGAGTCTGTCATGAAGAGTACTTGCGACAAGTCAAAGCAGGAAAGCCTTAAGCTAAAAGAGGGTCACCTTTATTGAACCCTATCAACTATTTTTTTTCCGAAGAAATCTCTAGCATGTTCAAACTACTTGAACAGATCGCATTCAGATATGCGCTTAAAATCAAGTATAACTTGTCCACGAAGCACGGTCACCCAGATATTCTATAGCACCGAGACGAATGGTATAACCCGTCAAATGGCCGATTCAAAAACTCGCCAGTATCAACGTACTCCAAAAGTATGATGAGGAAGAGGAAAATGTGCATATGGTTTGCCAGTTCCCTAGTTACTTCCTCAAGCAGTGGTTTGCGAATCAAACCATTCCCAAACCCATGTGTGTGTGTGTGTGTGTGTTCTGATAGGACAGCGTCACGACCTAACAGAGAGTGCACTTCTCGTGATGCGAGTTAATGAGTATTGGTAGTATAATTTAGTCTTGATATCGTGCGAACCCATGAGTGAGAAGAACAGGACAAATGAAAACTGCACTGAAGAGGCGGTCAAACCGAAATTTCAACAGACGAACAACAACAACAACAACAGCAACACAGATGGAAATAGAGAAAAGCAAACGAACGCGTAGGCTTCACATACACACACACGCAGGTCATTCTAGGTCATCACACGGCACGTGACTGTATAAAAGACGAGAGAGAGAGAGAGAGAGAAGTTGGTCGAAAAATGAGAGAGGACATTCGCACAAGGAGGTGATCGAGTACACACCAGGACCGGGGAGAGGGGCACAACGGCAGCACAGAGGGAAGGTGGGAAATATGTTCAAATGAGAGTTTCCATTTATTCTGTCTCGGTCTCATTGTGGCTGCGCTTTGATTACCGCGCTGTCAGAAGCAGAAAATCTGGCATCCCTAAAGTTCACCCGTGCTGCTTAAACCGGCAACTCACACGGAATTGATGCAACGGACCAAATCTGTGCGTGTGTGTGTTTGTGTGACATGGACCGAGAAAGAGGGCTAAACGAGGTGAGAACCGGATGGTGTTTCCGATAAATATGATCTAATCCGGGTGAAATTTTCAGGTCATGTGATATACACACGGGCCGGAAACGGAATCGGGTGAAATTGATGTATGAGGGCCAGTGAATGCA